TCAGCCTTCTGATGGTGGCGGCGGGAGGAAACCTGAGGACTTGGGGGTGCGCCCCATCCCCCACTTTCCTCTTCCTAGCGTCTGGCTCCCAGTTTGTCCCCACTGTTTGCAACGGCCGCGAGGTGGTGGACTCCACGACCTCGTCGCTTTGAGAACCCCACAGCCCTGCCTCTACTGCTTCCACTTCCAGGGCCAGGAGGAAGTTGGCTGAAGCACTGCAATAAAGTCCACCCCCACGTCCCTCCCCAGAGTCATCACCCATACCGCTGCCCCAAAACTCGGTCCAAAGTCAGGGTCCTCGGCAGGTAGCCCCCGCCACGGCCACTGACTCCCCTTGTCCCTCCTCACCGGCCCAGGGCTCAGGGAAGCAGCCAGGGTCCTCTCTGCCCTGGAGTGGGGTGGGAGCGGGGCGCTCTGGCTGAGGATTGTAGGCCCCAAACCCAAACAGCAAAGGTGCTTCCAGCCCTGCCCCTACCCACCTTTAGGGCCTTTTTTATTTTTTTATATAAGTTATTCTGGGATAAGGGTGGGTGATATAGGGGCCCTTCTTCCCCCTGCACATTAGTCCGTCCTGTGATTTATTTTGTATTCTCTGTAAATAAAGTGTCTTTATTAAAAAAAAAAGAAAGAAAAGAAATCATACTTTACTTTCAACCCAAAGAGGTCCTTACACTGGCCATGGCCTTAAACTTCGTCTACCAGTGCTTATGTCTCTGCTCTGTGCCAACTCTGTGCTGGATGCCAAACCCTGGTGGCTACCAAGAGAGATTCCTTCCTGTCTGGGGGTGGGGAGAATATACCACCTCCTTTGAAGGAGACTGGCTGAGCAGGGAAGAGGTTTCCCTGGGACTTGGCCTCCAGGATGGCACCAAGGGTAGCGTGGGTGAAAGCGGTCCATGTCCTGAGAGTGTTCTTCCAAAGCTGACCTGCCTGGTGCTAGGAGGAATCACTGATCAGTACCTTGCCAGACGGAGATTTTTGGTGGGGAAGGATCCAAGAAGAGGTCTGAGGTCCAGTGTTGCCTGTTCTATGGGATGAAAGTCAGAAAGCTTGTGAGAGGCAGATTGGAGAAGTAGGGAGGACAGAAGCTGGTCAGATGGAGCCAGGAGATAAACTAGGAAAGTGGACATTTTCCAGTCCCGTGAATGACTGGTGGAATGGTCAGTATGTGGAGTCTTGGGCATCCCTCATTTGACATTGGGAATAACCACTAAGAGGGCTATGAGGTGGAGTTTCATCCACATGGCTGCCTGCCCTCATGTGATGTAGAGGTGTCTGAGAGAGACAGAGCCACCTTTATCGTTAAGTGAGACTGGCTCAGGACAGGGCAGGCTTCAGAGCTGCTGTATGTAGGGTCACTATGAGTCACTGGCAACTTGACAACACATAATAACAGTCAAGTACAACTCGTAATGACCCTATGAACAAAAGATCTGAACCTTGCCCCGCCCTTACCATCTCTGATCTACTTGAGACTATTGCTACAGCAGTCACTATTTCAATTCATCTCTTTGAAGGCTTTCCTCTTTCACTGACCCTCCACCTTCCCAAGAATGATGTCCTTTTCCAAGGAATAGCCTTACTTCCATAGACTGGCAAGGCTCTGGAGACTGGGTTAATAGATAAATGAAAACAAACATGAAAGAAAATCCCAGAAATGGTTCCTTCTTCCAGCCAACACTTGGGGTTGCTAGATAATACAGAAATCCTAGCTAAAATTGAAGTGTAGATAAATAAGAATACTGTGTTTTTTAAGTGGCATACACATATAAATGAAACATTTGGGATACACTTACCAAAAAAAAATTATTTACCCCAAATTCCATTTGTAAGTAATTTCTTTTTGTTGTTGAGACTGTACCAATTCAACAGTTGGTACATTTACAATTCAGTGACATTGATTGCATAGTTTGAGTTATGCAATCATTCTCATCCTCCTTTTCTGAGTTGGTCCTCTCCCATGAAAATAATGGCATTTCCCCCTGGGGTTCTTTTGAGTTGCTTTTGTCAATTTGATCACGTATAGATAGATATTAAAATAACACAATGCTCAAGGCAGACAGTCTTTACTAGTCAAGCTAAAGGACTGTTTCATTTTAAAATTTCAGGGGCTAGTATTTGGTTTAAGGTTTAAAAATCATCTTATGACAATGTTTTCAGATTCTGTAATGATTTGAAATTCTGTTCTTCACTTAGCTCCCTTTTGATCAAGATTATTCTACCAACTTTTGCATCAGGCTCAATAATAGTAGCTGGGCACCATGCAATTCTTCTGCTTTCATAGCAAAGTGGTATTTGTTTATAGAGGCAGTCAATCACATATTCCATATCCTCTTCCTATTCCTGACTCTCCCTCCTCTGTTAATCCAGGAGAGTAGAGACCCAGTTGTCACTTGCAAGTTTTTAAGACCCCAGGAACCTGCAGCACAGGCTTCTGCTTCCACGTAGTCTTTAATTCCTGAGTCCTCCTGCCAAACTAAATTGACAGAACATTTCCACCCTCACTAGCCTGGGAGCGACTAAGGGGACTCTGATTCCTTCATATGCAGAAAGTAGCCACACTTTGAGGGTTCTTTTTTAATAGGTAATTAACATGCGTCACATCTGAAAAGTTACAAAGGGTATTTGGTGAAGTTTCATTCATCCCTGCTGTCACCCATCCTGAGGGAATGACTGAGGTCTGAAGTACTGGAGAGGGTATAGGAAGAGGGTGAAGGATTCCCAAGGGTCAGTCCTCACATCCCTTTCCTTCTGACTTCTCTTCTCCACTTGTGGGGGGAAAACAAAAAAGCAACTTCACGTGTGTGGGCAGAACTCCTCCACTGAGTTTTTAAGCCTGTGATCATTTGGGGATAGACCACTAGTCCTGCTTTCCAGGACACCTCTGAGTGGGTCCAAACCACCAACCTTTCTATTAGTAATTCAGAGTTCATCAATCTGTGTCACCAAGGGACTCCCCTGTGGATCTGTGCTACCTTAGCCCCTCTTTTTTTTTTGTCTGTCCTCTCAGTATCTCTCTCCACTTCTTCCACCATGACCATGACCCCTACCCTCATTTTGCCTCAGTGTTACAGGATTCCTGGCCCTCCTTAACACTCCCTACATTCATCTCACAACTTTCATCCTCCCAGCCTCAATTCTTATCACATATTACCAATACCAGCCCCTTATAACCACATCCCCTTGGCTCCTGTCCCAGTGCTGATAGGCCTGGGTTTATATCTCCTCTCCAACATCAGGTCCAGGTCCCATGAAGCCCTGTTAACTTCTGTCTGGGAAGGACATGAATGGGCCAAAGACCTTGCTGAGTTGACCTCGCAGGTTAGGTACAGAACCCTCCTAGAGAGCTGGCCTCTTCCGGAGACTGAGATGCCAGGTATCTTAGTTATTTGTCCAGTGCTGCCTTAACAAAAAATATCACAAGTGGGTGGCAAACAGTAATTGAATTTCTCACCATTCAGGAGGCTAGAATCTGAATTCAGAGTAGTAGATCTAAGGACAGAATTTGTTCAGTCTGTTTCTCTGGGAGAAGAAGGTCCTTGTCTCTTCAGCTATTATTCCTTGGCTCCTTTTGATCTTCATATGACATGTCTTTTCTCCTCCGGTGCAGCTCTGCTTCCTGGTTTAGTCTGTCCCTTTTGAATCTCAAAAGAGATGGCCTCAAGATACACTCTGTTGTTGTGTTATTGTTGTGTACATAGCTCACCCTCTGGTGGGTTTTCAGAGGCAGTTAATCTCACAGGAAGATATTGCTTGTCCTTCTTCTGCCTGTGTCCTAGAACTGCTTGCTTTCAGGATTGTAGTGCAGCTTCTTGTCACTAGGCCACCAGAGCTCTGCCACAAGATAAACTCTATTTTGCTAACATCAACTGATTTAACGTAGGACATATTATGGAAGTCCCTGAAGCTGGAAAGGAGATTGGGGAACTGAGAGGAACAATCACTCATTCATTGCTGTCCGGTCAGAATCAACTCATAATTGACTCGCTACTGGGTTTCTGAAGCTATAAACTGAGAAGGTGAGAGATAGTAAACTGCACTGGAGGAAATTGCCTGTCCTTCTCCTGTGGAGCAGCTAGTGAATTTGAACCATGTACCTTTGGGATTGCAGTGCAGCTTCTTACCACTAGGCCACCAGAGTTTCCTAGGGAGAGACAGTAAGAAGTAAGTTAGAAAAGCTTGAAACCCTGAGGGCTCTTCCCAAGATGTCAATTTTTTAAATTTTTCTAAAGAGAAAAAATTATTTAAATTCTGTGAAAACAGTATCTGCTCCCTATAAACAGTTTAAACACTGCATAAAAGTACAAAAAGAAAATAAAAGTGCTGCCTCAAGTTCCATCATTCAAATATAACCATCATTAACATTTCTGGTACAGCACCCTAGACATATTTCTATGCATTTTTTTACAGATAGAAGTAGAGATGGAAATACTTTAATAAAAATGGGATCATGCCATATGCCTATTTTTTTTTTAGTGAAAAAGATTTAATTTTACTTGACTCTAATTGAAGAAAATGAATCTGAAGTGAAACTGAAGACATTCTTGAACTAACTTCAAACCTATTTCGTCACCACAAAAGATATTTTTTTTCCCTCTGAAAGATCCCTCAAGTTTTAGGAAAAAAGACAAGTGACATTTAGAGGTAAACATTCTTCTAGTCCCAGGGAGCTTGAGGTGTGTTTGACCCTTTGCCAGTCTTCTTGAAACATGAAGAGGAGGAATGCACCCAATGGGGAAAGTGTGGGGGCTGCCGATCCAAGCCTGTCCCTACCCACACTGCACCTGGTCCTTGGGCTTGTTGATTCTGCAGCCTGTCAATCAGACCCTGCAGCTGTTGTCAACAATGGGCGCCAGGCAGGCCCTCACAGGTGCTCCATGTCTAGCAGCATGCAAGCCGAGGGATCTCAGGGCCCGCAGCTTCCCTGTGGGTATGGTCTGCATTCACGTTGGTGCTCATCCCTCAGGAGGAGATTGCCATGTGAGATGCTGCCTCCTGGTCTCTGAGGCCCCAGGATGCTGTCCACCATGTTCAATGTCTTCCTCAAAGGCAGATAAACTTGGTGCTGGGCCATTCATTTTATTATTTGTTGTTATTGTTTTTTTATGGTGAGATCTGTATATCTATCTATCTCTACCTGTCTGTCTATCTATCTGGAGCTTTGGTGG